TCTATAATATTCACCAACTCCCATCATTCTTCCTTTCCTTCTCCTTGGTCTTGATTTTTAAGGAAGTTGAATTGACTTTTAAACATTTGACAAATTAAATATTTGACATACTGAAATGGAAGTCAATTAAACTCAATCAGCAAAGCATACCTATACATCTGTATTGCTTCTCCCCTCTCTCTTTGGTTACAATGGAAATTATAATGCTTTGCCATAAACCTTGGTTTACAGATATTGTTCATTGTTCCAGTGATAAGCACCTAACTGAAGGCAATGAGTCCCTTATAGAGGTTTGAGGAGGTTGGTGCCTTGTGAAGCACTACCTCTTTATATCTTACTGAAATTACTTATGAGGTTTACATGAAAATATAAAATATAATATAAAAATTAGAAAGTGTATATGATCACAAGTATACTGTGTACATACACATAATAAAATTATCTTTACAGAGTCAACCTCTGTAACAATGCTGTAACAATTTCTAAAACACTACATTTTGACAACAGAATGGTTCAAGGTTTACAAAACTAAAAGGAACCAAAAGGAAAAAGAAAGATAAATTAGGTTATGTGAGTAAAACCCTTGTGCACTACAGGACACAAAATAATGAAAAGACAGCTATGGAATGGAAGAAAATACTGGCAAATCACTTATCCAATAAGGTGTTCATTTCTAGAATATATAATTTCAATAAAAAACAAGGTATGACTTTAAAATGAGCAGGAGGCTGGAGACCTGGGCCAAGAGCAATTGCCTACCAAGTATAAGGTCCTGAGTTAAAATGTCAGTGCCATCTCCAATAAACAGAAATGGGAAAGGGACTCAAATAGACGTTTCTCCAAAGAAGATATTCAGATAGCTAATAAGCACAATTAAAAATAGCTCAATATCACTAGTCATTAGGGAAATTCAAATTAGAACATCGAGGAGGTTGTACTTTATATATGCTATAATAACTATTATTAACAATATAGTACAACAATAGCAACAACAATAACAATACAACAGTAACAACAACAAATCCCAGAAAACTAGCAAGTGTTGGTAAGGATGTAGAAAAATAGAGCTCTTGTGAACCTCAGGTACAGCTGTTTGGAAAACAAAGGTCCAACAGTTCTACTTTTGGATGTATTTCAAAAAAAACTTCAAATGAAATATCTGTTTATTCATGTTTTAACAGCAGCCAATGTGGAAGCAACACAAATGGTTATGTACAGAAGTATGGCTAGGTGCTCTGGTACACATATGCACCATGGAATAGTACTTACCCTAAAAAGAAGGCAATTCTGACACATGTTCCAATATAGAGTGAACCTTTGGGATAAGCTAATTACAAAAGGACAAATACTGTATGATTCACTTATATGAAGTAATTAGAGTAATTGAAGACATTGACACAGAGTAGAATGTGTTAGTCATCGGAGGCTTGGAGAGAAGAGGAATGTAGAGTCAATATTTGGGCATAGAATTTTATTTTTTGCAAGTTGAAGACATCTGGAGATGTGTGCACACTAGTGTAAATGTACTCAATGTCATTGCACTGTACACTTACAATGGGTAAGGTGGTAAATTTTAGAGTATGTACATTTTAACCAAAATTAAAAAAATTAAACTATCTTGTGGCCTTTTTTTGCAGCATCAAGTATTATTAACCTCAGGACTTAAGGTATGACTGAGATGCTTAGAAAAAAATCTTTTACAGGAATTATAAAAGTCCAGTACAAACTTTTGGCTTTATTATTGGGAAAGGGTGCTGATATATTTTGAAATATATAAATAATTTTTTAAAATGTATTAAATTTCTCTCATTGATTCATTTTAGTTACATTGGAGTGCCCAGTAAATGAATATGGACAAGAAAATGTATCTTAAAAAGTTGTGTAACACCTGGACATAAATCATATTTTAGTTTTTTACCTTTTGTTAGTGTATTTTAAGGACCTATAAGTATATAGATGAATTTTTAAAAATGGAGATTTATCTTTCATATTTGTCCTTATCCTGTCTTGTCCTTATCCAAGTGCCTGGCTAGGAAAAATATTTGTTGCTATAACAATCAGTATAGTGTTTCTCAATATATTACATACATATTTTTTGTTTAACCAAAAGGAAGTTAGCTGGGTGCCAGTGGTTCACAACTGTAATCCTAGTTAGTAAGGAGGCTGAGATCTAAGGATCATGGTTTGAAGCCAGCCCAGGCAGGAAAGTGTGTAAGACTCTTATCTTTGATTAACTACCAGAAAATTGGAAGTAGAGCTGTCACTCAAAGTGGCAGAGTACTAGTCTTGAGTGAAAGAGCTCAGGGCAGTGCCCAGGCCCTGAGAGCAAAGCCTGTGACCAACAAAAATAAAAATAAAAAAACCTAAACAATTGAAATAAAAGAGAGCCCTTTGTTTTATTATTGGGTTCAACAAATACAAAATTGCTATGAAGTTTCTAAATCCTTCCCACTTTCTTACCTTGTTCAGACAGGTAACAGTTTTCAGACAGGCCCCAGACAGTGTGCAAGCCACTCTGGGGAGTTACCACTTTATACTAGAAGCCCTTCTCAAGCTTCACTTCATGAAATGACCACCAGGGCCCTTAAGGCAATTCTTAACTAGTAGGCCTGGAGCGGGCCTGGAACAGGCCTGAGAAGTTAGTTTCTAAATGACATCAATGTTGCTGCTCTGTGATCCACATTGTGAACAATAAGACTTAGTTTAAATGTTTATGTAGTATTTGATGTATACAGTGTTTTGCTTTGAACAGTGAGGCTTGAACTCAGGGCCTACCACTTGAGAGCCACAGTACCACTTCTGGCTTTTTCTGCTTATGTGGTATTAAGGAATTGAACCTAGGGCTTCATGTATATTAGGCAAGCTCTCTGCCACTGAGCCACATTCCCAGCCCGCACAGTGATCTTTTGAGCTAGCATTCTTATTCCGTTTTGCCCATGATTAATAGCAGATTGATTGAGATTCTTGTTTGTTTGTTTTTTGGTCGGCCGTGGGGCTTGAACTCTGGTCCTGGGCGCTGTCCCTCAGCTCTTCAGCTCAAGGCAAGGGCTCTACCACTTGAGCTACAGCGCCACTTCCGGTTTTCTGGTGGTTTATTGGAGATAGGAGTCTCACGGTCTCTCCCGCCTGGGCTGGCTTTGAACCGTGATCCTCAGATCTCAGCCTCCTGAGTAGCTAGGATTACAGGCGTGAGCCACCAGCGCCCGGCTGATTGAGGTTCTTGACATAGAATAAGGTTACCCCATCTTTATACAGCTACTTAAAGATAATACAAATAAAAGTAACAAATAAAAGATTAACTCATACTATTTTTGGCAAACACACAGTGGTGCAACCATAGCTAGAATGTAGTTATAGGGCAGTTCCACCCACCCCAGTTCCTCCATGCTCTTCTATAGTCAAGCCACTGACTCCTAACCTCTTATAACTACTGATCTGTTTTCTGTTCCTATTCCAGTCATATAATGCACTGTGGCATGTTCCCAACAGTTCACTCCTTTTTATTGCTGAGAAGAACTTCATTGTATGCATGTAACACAGGTCATTTACCAATTCACCCATTGAAGATCATTTTGGTTGTTTCTGGGTTTGGTAGGCAGCCTCTTTCAAGCACAGAACACTCACAGTAGGAGCTTAAAGGAGATTTTCAAGGTCAGAGAAAATTTGGTGAAGTTTTCCAAAGGAATGGGCTAATTCTTAACAAGACTGGAAGTTGGAAACAATGTAAGTAGTTACCTTGTTTCAAGATGATTTTACTAAGCAGACATCCTTAACAAAAAAACCTAGATTCATACACGGTAAGTCTTAAACATATAAAATGGTATGAAGAGAAGGTAATATGAATTCTGGCTTTTTTGGGGGAATAACTGGTGTTGGTTTAATGACTCAAAATTTCTGGGGAAGAGTGTAAACCTCAGTTACAACTCCAACCATGCCGAGTCTTCACCCAGCAGAACACAGGAATAGGACAGTTTCTGTTAAGCAGTAGTGTTTGAACTGGGAATTATTACAATAAATACTCGATGGGTGCTTGAGAGTATGAAGACTCCTCATGCAGTATGCCATGTACTTGTTGGGAAAAAGCTATTCAGGTTCTCCTTTTTACCGATTCGAGGCCGCTCAGACAAGCTATGCTTTCATCTCCAAATTCACACAGCTGAACAACTGGGTCTCTAGTGTTTTCTCTATAAATCCAGTGCTTCCCTCCTTATGCTATGCTGTGGCAGGAGGAAGTTCTGTCTCACCTGGGTAATAAACACCAAGCCTCAGAGCCGCACCCATATTGAGAGGAAGGAGCCTGAGGCTGTTTCTGGCACAGGCGGTGTGCAGATCATGCTGTTTCCTAATGCAGCCGCTCTTGCTCTTCACAACTGCAAACTCGGGTGGATCTTGAGTTTTCTGCACTCCCCCCCCCCTCCTGCGGCTTCTCTTTTTGTTAACTTGCTCTATAAATGTTTTCAGCTTTATTCCTGTATTTTTCCAAGCAGATTTCCCATCTCAAATATACAGCCACTTCCTTAGTTCTTAATGCGTGGAAAACTGCCGTGTAGTGTGCGTGGAATTCCACCAGCAGGTGGCAGATCCACCTTTGATCAGTTGGCCAGCTCCCCTAGCCTGGGATGGCTTTAGTTTGAGTTATGATCACTTCGGAGTTATTAGTACGCGGACACCAAAGCCCAGGACTTCCAGGGGCCTTCCTCCGTGACAGGGCGACCCCAAACTGAGCAGGGCGCAGTCCCCGTGAAGGCCACCCCAGCCCGCCCTGCCACCACTTCCTGCCCGCCTTCTCCCTCCCAGGGCGCAGCTGGTCCCCACGGCTTCCCTCCCGGGCCAGGGCTGGGCGGCCCCTCCTCACGGGGCGGCCACTCCCCGCGCCAGCCTCCTGCACAGCCCGGCTTCCTCGCTCCCTCGCCAGAAGGAAGCCTCGCCCCCAGCACCGCCCCGGAGGCTCCACGGCCTCAGGCCCCACCCAGCCTGGTCTTCTCTGGGTCGCGATCGCGCCCAGATCCCGCGCTGTGACTTTCCCCAGCACCCCGGCGCAACCCTCGGCAACCATGCTGCGCTGGCTGCGGGGCTTCGTGCTGCCCACCGCGGCCTGCCAGGACGCGGACGTGCCCGCGCGCTACGAGACCCTCTTCCGGACGCTGGACCGCAACGGGGACGGCGTGGTGGACATCCGCGAGCTTCAGGAGGGGCTCAGCAACCTGGGCCTCCCGCTGGGCAAGGACGCCGAGGAGGTGGGTGGCTGTCGGCTGGGAGGGCTGGGAGGGCCGTGAGCTGAGCTCTCCGGGACGCAGCCCGGACCCAGGAGGGCGGTGGCTCCAGGCTCGGCCTGGAAGCAGGCAGAAGGCGGAACTGTGGTTCCGAGCCTGTGCTGGGTTCAGAAACTAGGCGAGAAAGGCGCGCGCGGCCCCTGGATCCAATCCCAGGTCTGGATCAGAAAGTGTGCGGGGATTTTCCTGCATGAAATTAGTGTGGTGTACGCTCCAGCCCATGGGCGTCCAGCCAGGGGCGTCCACGTTAACATTCCAGACCTTGTCCGCCACACTGCACCTTTGTCCCATGCATCTTGGACTCTTGACCGGCCGTGGGTCCCACTCTCTTCAAAAGATACTTTGTATCTCTTTAAAGCTGCTTTGTTACACTCAAGTTGACTGTTTCAAACTTTGAAAATCAGCCTTTTCCCTTCTTAGGGAGGAGGGCTGGCAGCATTCTCTTGTGCAAAGGCCTTCTTAGGTGACTGCCCTGAGTACATACATTGATGGGAAGGAAGGAAGGGTTGACTTGTCAGTGAGCAGTTTTATCTTCTATGAGTCATTTTAATTATGTTCCTGAGATTCAGCCCCCTTTAGCAGGGTGGAGATACAGCATTTGGACCTTCTCCAACCCTGCTCAAGTGCAAGAAGACACTGTGGCATTCCCTACCCAAGAGAGAAAGTGATTGGGTTACTGTGGGGGCCAACAACTGCGCCAGTTATATTTGAAACTCCACTGTCCAGGTCTCTAGTAATTATAGATCTCTTCACTTTACTCTTTTGTCTTCAGAGTTAGGAAGTTACTTTATTTTGCTCATCTTGCTCAAAACATATACGTGCATATATACATATATATACATACATATATGCATATGTATATATGTATTCATGTATATATGACTACATCTATAAATAGATTCTCTGTTTCATTCCTGATGCCTATTCTTTTCCCTAACCTTGACATAGGTTTGTCTATTTTCATTACATTTAAAAAGAACTATCTTTTGGCTTTTTTTTTTGCCAATTGTCTCTTTGTAAATTTTCTTCAATTTCTGTTTCTTTCTTTTCTTTTTTTTGGGGGGGGAGGGGTCCGGTCGTGGGGCCTGAACTCTGGGCCTGGGCGCTGTCCCTCAGCTCTTCAGCTCAAGGCTGGCGCTCTACCACTTGAGCCACAGCGCCACTTCCGGCTTTTTTTCTTTTTGCTTATGTGGTGCTGAGGAATTGAACCCAGGGCCTCAGGCATGCAAGGCAAGCGCTCTACCACTGAGCCACCTGGCATGCAAGGCAAGCGCTCTACCACTGAGCCACCTTCCCAGCCCCTTTATTTTCTTTTCTGGGTATTCCTACTTGCAAAGCAGGTGCCTGCCCACCCGAGGCTCCAGCCGTAATTTCTGTTTATTTCATCTTTCTTTTGTTTGACTCATTTGTTTTTTATAATTTTTTTTTTTTTTTGGCTGTGGTACTTGAACTTGGAACCTCGGCACTGTCCCTGAGCTTTTCTTGCTCAAGGCTAGCGCTCTACCACTTTGTGCCACAGCTCCATTTCTGGGTTTTGAGTGGTTAGTTGTAGATAAGAGTCTCAGGGACTTTTCTGCCTGGGCTGGCTTTGAACTGTCATCCTCAGCTCTAAGCCTCCTGAGTAGATAGGATTACAGACATGAGCCACCCGTATCTGGCTTAATTATTATTACTTTTAATTATTATGCTTTCTACTAAAAGTATTTCCTTCCTATTTCTGGTGGTACTAGGGTTCACATTTGGTAACTAAGTGTTCTACCACTTGAGCCATATCTTTAACTTTTCAGACAAGATCTTGCATTTTTCCCCCTGGCCAGTTTCTGTCTTTGATCTTCCTACCTTTATTTCCTGTGTAGCTGGGATTACAAGATTACCCTATCCCACTATGCCAGACCAAATCTCTAGAGAATGAGGATCCTGTCTTATTCACCTAGATTGAAGGCTATGGTTTGAACTAACCTAAGTGGCCTGCTTTAAAATAAAAATTTTTAAAGTAAAAATGGAATTGTAAATCAGTTGTTAGTGTTTCTATTAGTACTAATGGTAGGACAATAATATTTGATCACTAGAAATGGTGGGCAAAATAGGATAAACATCTTTGTCCATAGCTAAGCCTGTGTAAGAAAACAAGGAAAATACCATCAATCTGCTTTGGCTTAAATCTTAATTCTGTTATTTTTACTGCTGACTTTGAGTAGTTTTCTAAGGGCCTCTGGACTCAGTTTCTGTGAAAAAGATAGCAGTAGTACTGCCTCATGGGATTATTGTGAAGAATAAATGGATTAGACTATGCAAAGCACTTAGAAGGATGCTATTACCCAGAAAAATATTCAATAACTATTAGCTTTTTTAAAAATTTGTGTTGGTCCTGGGATTTGAACTCAGGGCCTGGGCACTTCCTTGAGATTTTTTTGCTCCAGGCTAGCACTGTACCACTTTAGCTACCGTTCTACCTCTGGTTTGTTTATTTTTTAAATAGCTGATTTTAGATGCAAGTCTCATGGGCTTTCTTCTTTCCTGTCCAGACTGGCTTGGAGTCCCAATCCTCAGATCTCAACCTCCTGAGTAGCTAAGATTACAGGTATGAGTCACTGGTATTACCTTTTTATAATCACTTCTGAAAGACAGGTGTGAATCTTCTTCTATAATTGTGGATTTGCTAACTTTTCTTTAAAAACTGTAATTTCCCCCCCATCCATATTTTAAGACCATGCTATTGATATATTCAAAGTTAGGACGGTATTCCTTTTATGATTAAATTTGCCTTTCTTGGAGCATAATTCCCTCATAGGTTTCAAATGCCTGAATCATTACACTAGTCAGAACAGTTCTGTAGGCCAGCTTGTTTTCCTGTCACGCTGGTGAACTCTTCAGCAGTTGGAATACCCCCTTATTGTGTAAAGCAAAATACTTGCCCCCCCCCCACTCAAATAGGATTAGTGATCTTTGCCTGAGGATCAGTGAGTGAGTGAATACACAACTGCCCCCCCCCTCCGTTACTGCCTCTTGTCTTGGACTACTCCTGAGACTGCATCCATTCTGATTCTCCAAGAATCAGAAATGAAGAAGGGATTTGGTGTGCAAAATATGTATTGAGAAATGACTGTGAAGAACAAGCAAAAGGATACAGTAAGTAGGAAGTCAATAGGGTCTCCAGAACAGGATGGACATTTAAGAAAAATGTGAGAGAGGATCCATTTAGGAAGAACTGCAGACTGAAGTGTGGTTCTTATTCTCAGGTAGGTTGATGGGGAGTCACTAAGGGGAATCCGGCATTGCTTGCCAAGTGATAATACCAGGGTGCCACAACCCAGCGCAAACAAGGATTTGATCAGAGTGCTCCCATGAGTCAGAGGGGCTAAGGTGTGGCAGGGAAGTAGGCTGTCTGTCCTCTTCCACAGGCAGGTTTTCTAGAAGGTTCACAGAGTCATTCAATGACCTGGACAGCAATGACTGTTCCTGGTGACACACACATTTGATTCTTTGCCTAGATAGCTTTAGAAAAGGGCTCTTTCATAGATTTTGGGCACTCTTCTTAAGGGAGTTCAGTGGGACACATAGTAGTCCTTGTTAGTCACAACTAGCACTCCTTATATCCCTTCTTGACTGTGTATTTTGATCACACTTATCCTTACCACACTCTCTTAAGGTCTTTGTGACTTACCTTTTTTTTTTTTTCCTGAGGGGATCTGAGCATCTCAGGCCTATGTTGTAGCTCATGCTTCTTTATAGTTAAGGGAATATCAAGGCATCTGTGTGAGTCCTTGAGTTCTATACATAGTCTCTCCATCTCTATTGTAAAAAGCAGCACTGCCTCTTGTCTATCAGGGTCAACTTATATCTATCAAGATGGCAACATCTCTTCTTGCTTGGTCCCTGGACATCAGAAATTCAAAAAGGTCCTTCCTGGTGGCAACCATAGCTTATAGCTCAATGGGTCACTTGCTGTGTTCCTGTTTTGAGGTCAGACACTAACTTTGCAGAATTGAGAGTGTGAGGACAGGAAGCCCAAAGCATCTCTGGGGTCATTGGGAACAAAGCCTCCCCTAATACCTCTTATAGGACTCATTTATTCTTCCAGTTGGGGCCCTGTGGGAGCCACATTGTAGAGCCTACACTGCATCCTGAAGGGTAGTATGTCCCTTTTGTTGGATAAGGTCTTCTAGTTGTTCTGCTGTATGTTCATTAGGCCATTTTCATATTCTGGGAGGCTGTTTTTTGGAGGGAGAGCCTTTGGAGAGTAAAGGAATAAGCAAGGTCATGGGGATCAGTGGCATTACTAGAAGAGAGACGCAAGCTAGGATGCGTCTTCTACTGTGTGTTGTCCTCCATCATGGTACCGTGCAGCAGGAGGCCTTCAGCAGATGCTGAGTAGATGCAGCAACATGTTCTCGGATTTTCCAGCCTTTAGAGTCATGAGCCAAGTAAACTTCAATTTTTTTTTCTGTGTGTGTGAGTGTGTGAACACATGTGACACATGTATGCACACACATTTGCATGCACCAGTACTGAGAATTTAATTTAGGAACTGAGCAACTACCCCTTAGCTTTTTCATTGAAGACTGGTGTTCTACCATTTGAGCCACACCTTCCCTCCTGGCTTTTTAATGGTTATTTGGAAATAAGGATCTCATGGGTCTTCCTGTCAAAGCTAGCCTCCAAACCATAATCTTTCGATATGAGCCTCCTGAGTAGCTACCAGCACCTGGCTTAAACTTCTATTCTTTATAAGTCCTGTCTTAAGCATTTTTAAAATAGTTGGAAAATGTATTAAGGCATATAGTATGTGATATAACCAGTAAATTTCCTGGTCTTGGGCCAGCACCTGCACCTTATTTACTATGTATTTGACGGGCCATATGCCACTGCTCAGGAAACCCATATAGAGTCTTACCTCAGGCCCTTTCACCTCTTTTACACAGTGAATGATGCCTATCACTGAGAAACTTTTCCTGTGCTACTAC